AACTCCTCAACATCCGGTCACTCTACTGAGCCAGAGTCCGGTCATTAATACCGGACGCGTCCGGTCACTCTGTGACCAGCGCGACTAACTCCTTTTTAACTCTATCTTCTTTAACCTGGCTCAAATGTGCCAACCACCAAGTGTATCACCTTGTGCACATATGTTACATATTTTCACTAATGTTTTTAAGGGTGTTAGCACTCCACTAGATCCTAAATGCATATGCAATGAGTTAGAGCATCTAGTGGCACTTTGATAACCGTATTTCGATACGAGTTTCACCCCTCTTAATAGTACGGCTATCGAACCTAAATGTGATCACACTCGCTAAGTGTCTTGATCACCGAAATAAAATGGCTCCTACCACTTATACCTTTGCCTTGAGCCTTTCATTTTTCTCTTTCTTCTTTTCAAGTCCAAGTATTTGATCATCACCATGGCATCACCATCATCATATCATGATCTTCATTTGCTTCACCACTTGGAATGTGCTACCTATCTCATGATCACTTCGATAAACTAGGTTAGCACTTAGGGTTTCATCAATTCACCAAAACCAAACTAGAGCTTTTAGCCGCTTTCGGCCCGAGTGCTCAGAGTCGTTCGATCAGATCGGATGGTCGCCCGTCATTATCGCTCGCATAAAAATGCCAACCGCGGCCATGCGCCCGAACCCTAGCTCATTCTTCACATTCTCTTCTCTCTCTTCACCGCTGTGCTGGCTCTCTCTCCCCTCTCACTCTGAACCACGATAGCCCGAGAGAGAAGCGTGGTGGCGCCGCCGTGGTAACCTTCGCCGGTGCACGCGTGTGGTGCCGTCGAGCGGCACAGCGGTGGTGCACTTTGCTCCCCCACACCGCTGCGGTGGAGCACGACCCCAAACCCTAGATTTTATCGGCGCCGCCGCAGGTCCTCTCGCCGGAGCGCGCGCTCCTCAGTGGGTGAGCGTGCCACCATCGAGCGGTCCTGTGACGGTGCCGTCGGCCGGGCTCGCTTGCACGGCGGCGAGAGCGGCTCGGCTTCTCCCCGCGCGCCGGCGAGGCGGCGGCGGAGTTCCTTCCTGCGCTACGACGGGATTCTACCTGCGCGACGGCGGTGGTGACGCGCGGCGGAGAGTCCGGGTAGGTCCACCACTCCTTCGTCATTACTCTAGGGTTAGGGTTAGGGTTTCAGGTTGGGGTCCGATCCTTTTCTTCAAATCGAATCCCCTTTCAATTTCTTGTTCTGATCTACTCCAAGAGCTAGATCTACGCCTAGTTGTCTCTGATACAATTGATAGTTGCATAACAGGATCACTAGTCATAGATCTAGCATATATATTGACATCTGATTGAATAACAAATCCTAGAACATGCTAGTGAGAGAGAGAGAGAGAGAGAGGTTGCGGAGGTGCAAACCATCGGCCGCCTTCGTAGAAGACGAGCTTGCCATGGGGGTGCTTGTCAGTGGCGCGGTGTGGTCCAGCAGGAAGTCGTGGATGCGAGTGGTGGCGGTGTGCAGAGGTGGCGGTGGCGGTGGCGGTGTGCGAGAGGTGGCGCGGATCGAAGGGCCCAATTGACCGTTGGTGGAGATCAATCTAACATGAGACACTGCAACAACCAACATCATTCAGTTCGTTCAGTAGTATCACTCGCTTGAGATCAATTTTTTTCAGCTGTGCGTGCGTGTTTTCGATGGGATCGTGCACGTACCCCTGTGTCCGGTGCAAGCAGCTTTGGGCTTCAGCGAGCTGATCGCCACGAATGTGTAGTCGTGTTCCGCGTCTACTGCTGCACGGACGACAGGGACACTAGTAGTAGGAGAAGAACAGGACAAGCTGAGGCTGAGCACAAGGAACAGAAGCAAGACGACAGCATCCACCATGGCTAGCCGTGCCAAGTAAGATCAGGGTATGTGTCGTGCAGTGTATCCCGCTCTCTAAGTGTCTCTAGATACCTTCACAGGCTTGCGGTGCAACTCGGACACTCGGTTATATAGGCAACAAGGAAAGTGAGGCCACACATGTACACAGATCGAACCACCACAACGCACACACGGGTATTGTGCGCACGTTTAGTTAGGTTGTGCTTGGTTGAGGGTCCGAGTGGGTTGAGATGAGTCAAACACATTTTTCTAGAGTGTTTGTGTTTCAGGACTAGAGGGTTGGGTTCATCTGCACAAAATAAATCGTCTCATTGCATACAGGCAACTTACGTACAGGATATGATCTTTAATTTGATTTCCGTGCCAATTACTTCTGACTGTATTAGAGCATCTCCAAGAGTACCATGTTTCCTTCCCGATCCTTAGTTTTTAGCAAGATGAGAAAAAATCCTTCTCCAACAACTCCTAATCCGTGCTCCTAAAATTTACGCACTTGAAAAATCCTCCCCCGTCGTGCGTAATTTTGAGCGTAGTTGCGGTCGCGCGGATACTGCTTTCCCGTGCCTATTAGTCGGTCAATCTAAAGGTAGAAGGGTGTGGGAAAGAATAAGGAGTAGGAAATGATTGTTGATGCAAATGTACGTGAGAGAAAGAATAGGTAAATGTGGTTACGATAGTTTAGAAATAGTATATGATTTCTTATGTAAAATTGCCTTCTATATTTTAGAAGTGAATTATTGGAAAACTCTTAGAGATGGCCTTCTTTTTTTCCTCCTAATATATTTTTAGGAGTTACAAAACTACATATTTTTTAAAGGAAAAAATAGGATACTCAATAGAAAACCTTAATTTTAAGAGAGAAAGTTGTGATCTAGATACCCACATTCACAACGAGATGCCTATAGGCTATATATATAATGACTTCGACAATATCATCATCAAGACCTGTATTCGGCTTGGTCCATTGGAGTTTCCAATGAGAGGAGGGTGTGTGCATATATATGTGAGTGCTTACGTCTCTATACTGTTTCAAAATTAAAAAAGAATAATATCCGATATATTGCAGTATGTGCTTTGATTCGATCGCTTAAACAAAATGAAGCCCTTGTTTAGTTGGGTGAGTTTGGATTTTGGAGTTATTGTAGCACGTTCGTTTTTATTTGGCAAATAGTGTTTAAACATGGACTAATTAGGCTCAAAACGTTCGTCTCACAATTTCCCACCAAACTGTGTAATTAGCTTTTATTTTCGTCTACATTTAATGCTCCATACATAGACCGCAAACATTTAATGTGACAAGTACTGTAGCAACTTTTTGAACTTTGGGGTTCAAACTAAACAAGTCGGAAGTTGCATACGTTAGTTCTCATTGAATTCGCCTGCCACAGCCCAGAATTTAAAATACACAGGTGCCAGGGTAGATAGATTACATAATGACAACAAAATACACAGGACTCTACCGTGCTTGTCTGAAACAAGAAACGTTGGGTGGTTGTCGCTCTAAAATTTAGTCGTTGTCTCATCAGATATTTAGATACATGCATAGAATATTAAATATAGACTAATTACAAAACTAAATACATGAGATTAATTTGTGAGACGAATTTTTAAACCTAATTAGCCCATGATTTGACAATGTGGTGCTACAGTAAACATATGCTAATGACAAATTAATTAGGCTTTAATAAATTTGTCTCGATCACAGATTACTAACGGATTTTATAATTTATTTTTTTATTAATATTCGAACACCCGATTTGACGCCCCCATATGACATCGGATGAGACTAACTCTTAAACATTAGTTCCTAAACATCCAATAGTCCTGCAAGTGGGCGGCGCAACCATGGAGAATCAATCATTGACTGCCCAGGTTATCCGTGCAGAGCACGTCCTGCCTGCCCATGGAGGCCTCGCCACCCTTCAGCCAAGCGAACAGGCCACTTGCTCCCGCCGACGAGGAGGGGCCGGCAGTAGTAGGTGACCTGAAGGCGGGTCATCATGTTGAACCCGGAGCTCACCTCCGTCACGAGGCTGCCGTCCACCCGCAGCGTCATGTCGCCGATGACGCGGCCCTTGGCGTACAGCAGCTCGAAGTAGGTCTGGTTCATGACGCCAGGGTCGTTCGTCGCCTCCACGCTCGTCATCAAGTCCAGCACCATCTCCTGCCGCACGGCCTCGTCGGTCGGGTTGAAGAAGATGATGCAGTCCTCGTCGGGCGTCGGTGTCGACGCCGGCGTCGCGCCGTCGAAGAGGTACGCGGTGACGTTGAGGAAGTAAATCCGGGCGCGGCCGCTGGGGTTCTCGGCCCGGAGGTTGAGCTGCAGGGTCACCGCCTCGCTCGGCGGCTGTGGAGTGGAGTACACCGCGCCGTCGACGACGGAAAGGCGCAGGGACTCCGGGCGGAGCACCACCTTCAGGGAGGTGACGACGACGGCGACGATGAGCACGGTCACCACGGCGGCCACCGCGTACCGCGCCGCGGCCAGGCACCGGAACGCCGAGGTCTTGCCGTCGTCGTCCCCGTCCGCTCTCATGTCTACTGACTCCACTGCAGCAATGTGGCTCTATCAGTCTATCAGTTGATCAGCACCTACCTGTACCTGCTCATGAATACGCGACAGAATCAATTGAGATACTGCAATTGACCAATGATGAGTGATTAGCTTGTTGATTGGTGCTCACACGTACTTTGAAACAAATTTAAAATATCACTTTTTCTATGTTTTAGGTGTCTATTATGTGAGCCAAAAAGATAAGCTGGAGCTATTTGTTCCCTTTCAGTTTATATAAGGGCATGGGTTTGTTTAGATCAGGCTAGGTACTTTTTCACCGAGAACCGAACCAAACCGCAATGGCACTTTTTCACCCATAACCGAACAAAAAGTGACAAAAGCGTGAGACACCGTCAATTCTTAACGAAAATCTCCATTGTTGTAGTATTCATCACTCTTAAGTCTTAATCACAAATACGGTATGAAGTTACGTTCAAGTTCAAAAATTGTACTCGTAATCACAAACCAATTCAAGCAAAATCAATCTTCCATTGCACATCGATCGATCGGATCACAAATTCACAATACATCACACTACACTGGCACAAAGTTATGCTGTCGAAATGCATCAGCCACTGTCTAGCTAGACGCATCTGACCGGCAGGCCAGCTGCGCCGCCGGCGGCCGCGGCGGCACCGCCCGGTATAGCTTTCTCGGTGAAGAAGCTGACGGGGCTGCAGGAGACCTTGATGTCGTAGAGCCGCGTCCACGCGACGCCGACCCTGAACCTGGCCTGCGCGGTGACCATGACGGAGAAGCGGCTGCTCATGTTCCCGGTGAAGTCCTGGGTCCAGGGCGCGTCCACCAGGGGCACCGTCACGTCGATGGCCGCGGTGCGCCCCGGCTGCCGCCGCGGCATGCGCGTCGTCACCGTCGCCCGCACCCAGTTGTCCCACTGGGCTCCCGGCGCCGTGCTGTTGCTCACGTCCACGAACATGCTCTCGTACGTCACCTTTGCGCGCCGGCTGGGATTGTCGGCGGCGAGGGTGAGGCTGAGCACGCTGCTGCCGCCGCCGCCGCCTGCGGGCCCGGAGCTGTTGTGGCTGCTGCCCGTGTGCGCGACGGAGAAGGTGATGCGCGCCGGGCAGAGCAGAACGAAGAAGGTGGTGACGATGGCCGCCACCGCGAGCGTCGCGAGGAGAGCCGCCAAGGTGTAGCGCTTGGTATTCACGGCCTTCAGACCCGCCGCCGCCGCTGGTGGTGGTGGAGGCGCCATCGCGCACGCTTTGCTGCTCGAATCAACGCTCTGTGCAGTGTGCTATCTACTTTTCCAGTAGTCCTAGTTGATTGCCTGCACAGTTGCACGCGCTCGGGCAGAAAGAGAATTATTGAAGAAGCCAGCGGTACACGGTATCATATCCATGATTGCGTACATTTATACAGTACAAATATACGGCGGATATAATACTAGTATTAGTATTAGGCACTAAGACAAACCATAATAACGTCACTATCGGCGACATATATCTTTGTGAACCATATGTGTCTGAAAAATGCATTGTATATGGAAGACTACGAGCTGCTACTTTTTTTTTTCTAGAACACGTAAAAGGTTCGCACATAGAGAAAAATTGTTTACGACGCGCCTGAGTGGCGCCTTGAGGTGGTCTACCGAGGAATCAAAAGTGTACGTAGAAAAAGAGAGTGTTGGAACTCTGTTATACGAGCTATCGAATTTATTTGATGCAAATGTTTGCTGCAACGAAGCCCACAGCTGAGAGGGGGTACGACAGTGAACAGCCTGAGCAACTATCTCTGGTTGCATTGTTGAAAACAACCAGCCTAAGAGGAGCAGATCTTGTCGGATCCAGACTGATTGACATGAATGCTTACCCCTAGTGCAGTGTAATGTATCATTTATTTTTTAGCAGTGCAATAAGATGTGCTCCATGGAAGTTACGATCAAACAAATAATCAAACTATTTATTTATTTTTTTTGCATAAAATTTCAAAATGTTATATAATTAAAGAGCTAGCTAACTGTACAATATGCCCGGGCCACCTTAATAATTAATAATAATAGTTATATTAATGTTGCTCCACGTGTCATATCACATGTGTCTGAAAAGCACGTTGCATATGGATGGCCGCCACGAAATGTTGTACTGTACTCCCTCCTTCCAGGAAACACTACAAGGAATGTGGCTTTACATGATGGTTTGCCGGTGACCTTCTAAGGAATCATCGTAGAATTATATTGTCTGTGACGGTTCATTTCAGAGGTGATACATACGGTTCATTTCAGAGGTGATACATCTGTGACGACTAGTTTAGTTTTTGTCATTGTTAGACGTCACAGACCATTGCGGCAACTCAGCTGTAAGGGCGTGTTTGGATGCAGCCCTGGGTCAGTTTTGCCTGAAAAATCTGTAGCCTGTAGTCTGCCTGGAAGCTATTTGGTTGGAACCCTGGACAGCAGCCTGGACCAGGCAGATGCTGCTTCCCCAGGCGACCAAAATCGACTGCCTGGCTGCTGCATGCTGTTGCCTGGGCATTAATCAGCGTGAGAACTCTCTAGGGGCCCACAACTCTCTTTTCCCAGGCAATAAACTTCAACCAAACAGTCACTCTTGCGGTTGCCTGGCCAGGCAAAATCGAATGCAGTTACAGGCAACATGCAGGCAGCATCTTTGTCCAGGCAAATGATTCAGGGTTGCAACCAAACATGCCCTAAATCCGTGACGGATGACTTGGTTTGGTCACAAATGAAAAAAGTGTTGTATATTGATATTCATAGTTTACTATAAAAAAAGAAAAGAAGAAAAAGAAGAAGATATAATAAAAAAATAAAATAAAAAGAAAATAAAAAATCAAAAGAGGACAGAATGTCGACATGTTCCCCCGGCCATGTCTTTCTCACGAAGCCTCTCTCTCCCTCGGCTCTCTCTTTCGGTCCTTCTCTCACGCGGCCTCTCCCTGCTCCCGCCCGCTCTCTCCGGCTGGGCCCCTGTCAGCGTCGCCTCCTCCGCGCCGTCCGTGCCCTAGCCTCCGGTGTACGCCGCCGGCCCCTAAGCACCGGGCCGCCCGACCCCTGCTGCCGCTGCAGCCAGGCTAGCCACGTCAGGCCGACTGGGGCCAGGTTTGGGTGTTTGCGCGCGCCACGCCGCGCCATGGCCGGCGCCGCCCCTCCTCTTCCTACTGAGCGGCACGCCCGGGCATTACCAGAGGTGCTCATCCATCACTCCCCTGCTGTCGTGTGAAAATACCCAATCCCTAACTTAACTTTGCCTATTTCTATTCAGATCTGAGCTGCAGTGGCCTAGATCTTGACGGCTTCATCTGGTCAAGGGAACGCTAGATCCGTTAGGCCCTTTGGTAGAGAGGTCAGATCCATGGCATAACTACGGAAAAACGTGATTTGTCGAGTGCAAAAAATTTTACTGAGTGCTAAATTTTGGACACTCGGCAAAGACCTGCTTTGCCGAGCGCCGCACTCAACAAAATATGGCACTCGGCAAAGAGGCTTTTGCCGAGTGCCAGGATCTGCATTCGGCAAATAATGTATTTGCCAAGTGCACGCACTTTCGGCAAAAGCGGAACACTTGGCAAAGATTGGTAGGGGCCTAACGGCATCCGGCGGTGTCCTCTTTCTTTGAAAGTGCCCCCGTTTGGCACTTTCGACAAAGAATTTATTTTCTTTGAGTGTCAAAACTTGGCTTTTCGGCAAAATATTTATTTTTTATTTTTGTCACCAATTTTTTTGAAGCTTTAGTACACTACCACAAACAACATGTTTAAATTTGGGACATTTTCATTGCCTTTTGGCATATTTCTATAGTTTATTTTGTTTTGTTGAATTTTTCTAAAAATGTAAGTTTGAAGCTGTAGGTGCATCGAATAATGGATTACATTCGTTCAAAAATGTTATCCTTGTTTCTTAGTGTAAATTTAGGCTAAATCCGGGATCATCACGAATTTCGATCAACGTGCTCCGCGAGGCAGCGTCGCCAACTTGCGTGGGAGTGGTTTTTAATTGTATAAAATGCGAGCGAATTCCGAAAATCATGAAACTTGTCGAGTTGTCGCCGTATCATATGCGTATGCCGTGGAAAAAGTTTCGAGCACGTTGTCACGTACGATGCTCACAAACCAGGACATCTCCACATGTGATCACAAGGAATTTGTTCGCATTTTATACAATTAAAAAACCACTCCCACACAAGTTGGCGGCGTTGCCCCGTGAGCACGTTGATCGAAATTCCGTGACAGATCCTAGATTTAGCCTAAATTTACACTAAGAAACAAGGATAACATTTTTTGAACGAATGTAATCCATTATTCGATGCACCTGCAGTTCAAACTTACATTTTCTGGAAAAATTCAACAAAACAAAATAAACTATAGAAATATGCCAAAAGGCAATGAAAATGTCCCAAATTTAAACATGTTGTTTGTGGTAGTGTACTAAAGCTTCAAAAAAATTGGTGGCAAAAAACCAAAAAAAATTTGCCGAGTGCCTGGGGTTGGCACTCGGCAAAGTAATAACTTTGACGAGTGTGCCCGGTGGCACTCGGCAAAAGCTGCTAATTTTTTAAAACTTTGCGAGTGCGAGATCACGACACTCGGTGAAGAAAATTGACTTTGCTTGCCGAGTGTGCGCCGATCGGCACTCAAGCAAAGCACTACCTTCTCACCGCGCCGTGCCGGCGCTCTCTCTCTCTCTCTCTAACTCATTTTCTCTCTCCTCTCACCTCTCTATCCCTCAGCCATCGCCGCCTCACCTGGGCCTTTGTCCCTGATCCCGACTCATCGCTCCTCCCGCCTGCCCGCGCGCCCCCACGCTGGCCCCATGGCGCCCGCCCGGCTACCATGTGGCTCCCTGTGCCACCACCGCGCGCCGCTGAGAAGAGAGAGGAGGCGGGGAGAAGAGAGGAGAGGAGAGAGGAGGAGAGAGGAGGAGGAGGAGGAGGAGGAGAAGGAAGGTGCTTGCCCTAGGCCGTCGACCCTCACACATTCTTGCGGTCGTCCCTGCCGTCGTCGTCGACCCTCGTTGTTGCCATTCTCGTCGCGAAGGTATGCCCTACACCTGTAGTAGTTTGTAGTAGTACTTAGTAGTGTTAGTAGTAGTTAGTAAGTAGTAGTGTTAGTAGTATTGTTAGTAGTAAGTAGTGATAGTAGTAGTGTTAGTAGTAGTAGTGTTAGTGTTAGTAGTAGTTGTAGTGGTAGTAGTTAGTAGTGTTAGTAGTATTGTTAGTAGTAAGTAGTGATAGTAGTAGTGTTAGTAGTAGTAGTGTTAGTGTTAGTAGTAGTTGTAGTGGTAGTAGTAGTAGTGTTAGTGATGGTAGTAGTGTTAGTAGTAGTAGTGTTAGTGTTAGTAGTAGCTGTAGTGGTAGTAGTAGTTATTAAGTAGTAGTTAGTAGTTAGTAGTGTTAGTAGTATTGTTAGTAGTAAGTAGTGATAGTAGTAGTGTTAGTAATAGTAGTGTTAGTGTTAGTAGTAGTTGTAGTGGTAGTAGTACTTGTTGTTGTACTACTTCGATACTTTCATCTGCATGGAAAGAGAACTAAAGTACATGGCTCGTCTTGGTATATATATGTTTGTTGGCCTTCGTGCCTATGTTTGATATATATGTGGTTGTTGGCCATTGCGCCTATACGTTTCTTGCAGGTTTTGGAAACTTCTCCGTGCAGGGGAGGTGCTGCCGAAATTTTCAATGGATTCTAACCTATTGCCTTTTTATGTAGGAGAAGGACCCGTGGGAGGGACTCGGCGACCCCGATTGTCTTCGTCGGCGCTGCTGGTCTGCCTGCACCGCATCGCCTCGCCACTACACCGACACGCCACTACCCCGCTAGCCTGACTCCACCGCCACCCTAGGTATAACCCCCTCCTCCTTTGCATGCATGTTTTATATGGTCACGTAGCCTAGTTAGGCGTCTCCCGTTCGAAAGAGATACGGTCGGAGGTATGTAGATCTTTGCATATCTGCGACCGTGTCTATTTTGGATTGTCCACGTATTTTGGACAGCCCGTGGATGCGTAGATGAGGTTAGTTTCCATGGTTCGCTCCGGTCCGAGACAGACTTTCGGCATCACCTCCCTGTTGTTCTTCGGATACACACTCTCCCTTGCAGGACATGTATCGAGAGAACAGCGGGGAGGTGCTGCCGAAATTCTATCTTGGATAGGAGCGGAGCATTGAAACTGACCTCATCTACGCATCCGCGGGTGGGATTAGGACCTATCCTCACCTATTAGATGGTAGGAACACCGTGC